TTAACTAACACTCATAAAATTTCTACAATATTTCAGTCATGGCTTATCAACATCCAAGTGCATCAGATGGCCACGATTATCCAATGGTATTTTAATTTTAATATTTTTATACAAATTTACTTTATTTGAAATTCAAGGGGTATATACATCTAACCATCTTGCACAAAAATAAAATACTAAAAATAATTATCAAATAATAGAATTATGAAAATAGCCCCAAAATATTCATAGGGTTAATTTCAACATTTTTATTATTTGAATTATTTTTTATATTTTACTTAGTTACGGCTCACTAATGCACGTATATCCACAAAATTTAAGGCTAACCTAATTTTTAAAAAAATTATTAAAATTCAAATACTATCATACAATCATGATTGTTTGATAGACTTTAGATAGTGAGGAGCCATGATTAAAATACTTTAAAAGTTAACTCATAAGCATTTTTAAGTGTTTTCTATATACCATCATACACCATATTAAAATATTAAAAATAATTGTTTGAAATATTACCTCATTATTTTTTTAGGCATAGGTTGGTTATTTTAAAATTTGAAAAATACTTGTTAGTTATTTTTAAAGAGCCCTATTATGCAGATAGATGCCAAATAATTGAGAGAAAACTTGACTTACGATAATGATGATGATGATGAGCCCTATCATGCAGTGCACATGTCCAAGTATTCATCTCTATCTTGAGATGTATGGATATAAAAAAAAAAATCAAGACCAAAATTATGCATCTTATAGCAAGTTATCTAAACCGTTTATTTTCAAGACTTTCAAGTGTTTATAAATCTACTGGATTTGGACCATTTTTTAAATTTAAAATTTCTTAATTAGAGTTGAACATGGATTTTCAAACCCTTTCTAAGGTTTTTGATATCGGAACTATATCTTCTGACAAACTTAGAGGTACGCCTTTGCTTTTATAATATAAGGTAAGCACCTTATATAAACCTTAACAATATACATATGGAAAATGTTTATATAAGGTTGCACCCTTATATTATTAAAGTAAGATACCCATCAAAAATCTTAAGAACAATGTGTCTGTAATATAATGGAGAGCCATCCAATCAATCATCTTGACCTCGAGATGTCTGTAATATGAAGAAAAAAAAGAATTTCAAGTTTCAAAAATAGTGAACATTTTATACAAGTTATTTAGACCATATATTTTCAAGATTTTCAAGTGTCTATTGATCCATGATATTTTTTAAGATTTATATTTTATAACTAGACAAAAAAAATAGATTTTCAAACCATCATCAGGAGGTTCTGACATCACAACATATGTCTGAGAAAATTTTAGTGATAAAGTGACATTGACGTCGTGGATTTGCATCCATTTTCAACATAACTCTCAGCAAATTTTAGTGATAAAGTGACATTGAGCTAGTGGATTTGCATCCATGAAAATGGAGACTCCAGAATAAATTTTCATTTGGGAAACTATTTAAAGGGTCTCTAAACGATCAAATTAGAGCCCAACTTTAGATAGTATCGAGAAATATAGTTTCAACACTAAAAAGTTTTGTGATAGCCTTAAATTATATTTTTATTTTTAGTTATAAAATTTAAAGCTTCAAAAATAGCGTAGATCAAGCAAATCTATGAAAACTTGCAAATCTTAAAAATTGACGGTCGAAAAATATGTTACAAGATGCACTATTTCCAAAACTTGAAATTTATCTTTTTCTCATGTCTATGCATCTTGATGTCGAGATGATCAATTTGATGATATTTAGGTATCAAAATAACCTCTTCTAATAAAAGTTTTGAGGTAGGCTCTATTTTGATTGTTTAGAGCCTAGGCTCTATATAAACTTTTCCCCTTTTTAAAAGATGCACTTAGAATAAGGAGGTCACAATTACTATTGTCCCTTAGGTTTTAAATCGGGTGGTTGAAGAGTATTATTGACTAACTGAAAGTTCCAAAAACAAAAATTAAAACTTTGTGACATCCAATTTGACATCTTAGTGACTAGAAGTAATTGTGACCTCCTCGAGGTTCAAAGGGTGCATCAAATCTAACTTGAAAAGTTTGGTCTCATTGCCTACCCAATCTTTTCCTATGGTGATTTCTCTGACTCCATTCTTATCAAAAGGTAAGGGTCCAAATCCCTATCGACTTATCACCTTTTTAGGAAAGGGGCTGGGATCGTGGTAGCATCCCCACACCCAGTTACCACATCGTAGTATCCATTCCTACCGCTGACACCCCCAATTAACACATTCAAAATATAACTTTCCAATCAATTGAAAAAACGGGTAGGGGCATGTCTTCCCCTCTGAATTATCTCAAAGTAAAACAAACAAAAAAACAAAAAGAAGAAAGGATTTAATGAGCTGGTGATATGCTTTTTCCCCATTAGAAAAAGGGTGCGGATTGTATAGACCCAAAGCTCTAAACAATGAAAGTAAAGCCTACCATAGCACTGAGAAATGTGGTTTCATTACTAGAAATCTTTGTGATAGACTTAAAATATATTTTCCATCTTAAATTATTAAATTTAAAGCTTCAAAAATAGTGTAGATCGAGTAGATCTATCAAAACTTAAAAATCTTGAAATTGATGGTTCAAAAATGCGTTACAAGATACACTATTTTCAAAACTCGAAGTCTATATTTTTTTTCTCATGTCCATGCATCTTGATGCCGAGATGATCAATTTGAGGGTATTTAGGCATAAAACAACCTATTCTAATGAAATTTTTGTGGTGGGCTCTAATTTGATTGTTTAGAGCCTCAGCTCTATATAAACTTTTTCCTTAGAAAAAACATTAGTTTAGCCCTCCTATAAGAGTAATGATCTAATGCAACGGTTGTATCATAGTATAATGCAACGACACTTCTAGAAGACTATGTTTGTTGTATTTGTATGACCTCAAATTTTGCACACACACTCTCTTCATCTCAATAATCAATCCCCCCCAAAAAAAAATTTTCAATTTGAAGCCTAGATATAGTCAAAATGAATCCCGTCCAAAAACGAATCTAGACCTTTTATTTTGTGAATTTCAAGATCTTAGCCTTTATAAACTCAAAATCATTTTTTTTTTTTTTAACATTATTCATCTAATGATAACAAAACCATCCAAAAAAATTAGAAATGAAAAAATCCTTCTAAGACCTAGATCTAAGCATCTCACCAAAATGAACGACCTATGTTAATTGGGCTAAAAAAATACTTTATTCTATGTCGTGTTTTCAAATTTTTCTTTTTTTGTGATTGGTCATTAGAAGTAAAAGAGTGTATATTTCAATATTCGAATCAAACAAATAACCATAAAATAGTTTTTTAAGGTTGTTGCATCATATTACCATAGAACAGATGCATGAAATCATTGCCCTTTATTTAGAACTTTAGTTTCTTTAGAGAAGGATAGTGTTCGAAAGGAACTCATTTTATTCGTTCTGGCACAATGAAAGTTCTAGTAACACATTATCAAGAGAAAAAATAAAGTTTTTCTTTTTTGAATATCTAGAAAAAGAAAAAATAAAGTCGTAATGATAAAGAGTAAAAAGGTAAACAAAATGAATGACCGAGTTTTTCTTTTCGTTAGTGGGTGTTTGCGAGGGTTGAGAGAGAGATAAAAAATGAATTCATTTAGTAAGACAGAGGAAGCGTGTGTTCAAAATGGAACATTTTTAGTGAATGGGTGAGTGGGAGAGATGAATTTATTTAGGGCATGTTCGGAACGCATGAAAATACTTCAATTGAGTTTTTTACGTGACAAAAACTCTTTCATATAATTAGATGTGCGAGTTTTTTTCCCTAAAGAAATGTATTGGGATTTATTGGTGTGAAAAAACTTTCATACTTAATTACAAGAAGAAACTTTTTCATATTAAAATATTTTAATATAAATATTTTCATTCTTACCGAAAGTGCCTTTAGTGAGAGTGTTCTCAATGAATCCTTTTTATGGAGAATTTTCAAAATAAATTCACTTACTCCTGTGCAAGGCAGACCAATACTTCGTAAGGTACATCATCTTAATGAAATGAGAGAGAGAGAGAGTTTTCAAAAGAAAAAGTCGTTCATGAGTCGAGTGCAAGAGCCCCCTAGAGGATAAAAATCAAGGTTTGAAATGTCCTGCTAAAAGATAAAAACCAAGGCTTGAAAATAAGAAAGATAAATAATGCAGTAAAATAACAAAGGTGAAACACAAATATTTATGTAGTTCGATACATTGCCTACGTTCACATGGTAGTAAAATTCTCTTTCACTAATAAAAAAAACACCATATAAACATGAAAAATACAAAGGTTTTTCAAGCTCTCTATCAAGTTCTAAAACAAAACTTCTCTTTCAAGAACACCCACTCAAAGACTACAAAAAATTTAACTCTTCTCTCTATTTTTTTGCAAATTAATTTTCTGTCTACAAGACAACTTATATAAAGAGAAACACACAAAGATAATCCAGGTGAGGCCCAACCTATTTTGATTAAATTTTCATATCTAATAAAATTTGGTTCCCCCACAAAATAGGACTCCTATTTGCCCTCCAACTATATCAAGTTAATTCCTACCCTTAAAGTGTTAACATCCCCATAATAAGATATCCATTTTGCTTAAATCAATGGCTTCCTAATTCATAGGAAATATAGGCTTCGCAAACACAACAACTCGAGGGCTAATAAAGTGTATAAATTTTTAAATTACATTTTAAATATCAAAAATTTTATTTGATGTCTCATGTTAATGATCATCTTAACCTAGAACATGAATACCTAAAATTCTAGATTAAAAATCCATTTTTAAGATAATGAGGGGCCCGCATATGTACAATACGAGCTCATAAAAACCAATCCTTTTTGAGAAGATTTCACTGACTCCTATCCTATGCCAGGCAGACCAATACTCCGCAAGGTACATCATCTTATTCCTCTTTAATAGCGACAGTGGAAAGGACATTTCTCTCTAATTTTTGATGTCAAGTTCTATTTTTGTGGTAGTCTTCCCATTGAGAAATATTTAACAAGAGATTCATTTACTTGAAATAGATCTTCTTGTTTTCTCTATTTCTTATAACAATAAGAAAAACAAACATTCCAACAAAACTGCCTCGAATCTCTCTAGATCTCTTCAACAAATCCCCTGTAAATTACAAAATTACACACAAGGGTGGACATTATTATATGCAAGCCTCTTCAGGCTTTGGAAAAAAAACACTTAAATATTGGAGCTCATACCCCCACAATCATAATTTAATCTGTCTCTCTTAAAATCTCCCACCCACCCACATCACTATCACTTTCCAACAGCTTTCTCCAAAGATCTCAGTGGCCATCCACCTCTCCAAAAACCATTTCCTCTGAACTCTTAAACCTTTTCCACTCCCATTTTTTAGCTAGTTGTGCACAAATTTGTGATGAATATTTAACTTGTGTATATACACAATGGAATCTACCTGTGCTTTATTCATCAATTTACCTCTCTCTTCAAGATGGCAGCATAAAGTAGCTCATTCCATATATCAGGCACACCAGGAAGGCACCAATGGCTACAATCTTGAAATCTCTCAGGTGAAGTCCTCTCTTCTGGAGTGAGATTTTTCTTTCTATACACAGAGGGGTGCGCATCTTTTCTATAATCAGTCATCCTGGTAATGTTGAGATAGAAAACAGGGGTCTTCATCTCTCTCATCACTGATTCCAAAACACGCATTTTTGGTGGGTACATTGTCAAGTATTTCTCCTTGTAGATGGGTTCTGTTTCTTTGTGGCACTGGCCCCCTGAGTTCCATTGCCCACCACTGAAAATCCAGTAAAGAGAGAGATTGTAAGAAACCCAATACACAGAGAAGACCAGCATAAAGGAGGGAGACTACGAGAAACCCCACCAACGGAGAGAGAAAATACTGCAATATGGGTTTTAGTAGGTACTGAGATGGGGCAAATCCAATAAAACCAAATAAGAAAAAAAACCCAACCAATGAGAAAGATAAAGAAACCAACAAAGAAGGGAGAGCAAATTTAGAAAGAGTTTCATGTGGAAGGGTAGTTGCAGCTCTTGATCCAAAGCTTTAATGGTGGAACTGCTAAAAACCCACAAAGAACAGAGATAAATCGGAACAAGGAGAGACAGAAAACCCAAAGAGAGAAAAAAAACCCATCAGAAAAGAGAGAGAATGTCCTAAGCCCAACCAAGCAGAGAAAACCGATATCATACAGATGAGCATTAATGGGGGATTATCTGCCATTCTTTACCTGAAATGGGAAGCAGAGTAGCCCCTGAAGAAGACCTGGGTCTTTTTGGGGTTCACATTGATATCAACCCATTTGGCCCATGTCTTCAGTGCTTTCCTGTACGCATCAACAACGTTCAATTCTCCATATACGTGATTGCCTTCCTGATAGTAGTCCTTCCTGCATTGGGATTTCATCCATCGTAGTTACAGTTTCAACTTTGGGGAAAAAAATCTTTGATATTCCTTATTAAGCCATATTCTCCTATAGGAAGAAATCAGGTTCTTTACAGACTAAAAAACTTCATATCTCATGTTTGATTAAGCTTATGATTTCCAAATAATGAATTGGTTTTCATTCAAGGAAGACAATTTCCAATTCGGGGAAATAAATGATCTCATGTTTAATTAAGCTGAGAGTTCCAATTTTGAGAAGAAAACACTATTGACTTCCTTAAATCAAAGGATATCATGGTCGATGTTCCCCAAAATGGAAACTGTTATCCCTAGATGAAAACCCAATTCCCCAATCAAACTCTCCACTTGGTTAACACAGTTTTGATTTGATATTAAATCCACTCCATGAATTTGACGGACCAGTTTCAGGAAAGAGCAAGAGCGAGAAGCCTTGGTTCAAAAAAATCATTAACTTTCATTTTGGGGAAGAAAGGTTAGATGTTGTAAATGAACAGTTCCAAGTTTAGGGAAAGGAGAAGATGGAGGAGCCCTGATGATATTACAGTTTCAAAAATTGGAAATCCTTGGGTTGCCTACCCTCTTGAAGTCTTCTCATGAGTCCACCAGTGGCCGGTGTTGAAGACTATGATATCTGCATTCTTGTATTTCGAAGCTGAATTCTCGATGATATCAAGCCTTAGGGTTTCTTTCATAGTCCCATTGGGTTCAGGGATCTCCCATTCTTGAACCAGGAATGGAGATCGAACAAATTCTACAGAGCAGTTATAATCCTGAAACCCCAAAAATCAAAACCAGAAAAACCAAAGAAAGTGAGTAAACAGGAGGTTTTAGCTATCTTCAACCTGGAGACTTTTGCCAACAATAGGAAGTTCAAAATTTCCAAATAAACAGTCAAGACATCTTAAATGAACTAAAAAAAGCCATCTTTGACTGCAAAAATTGGCAGAAATGGAAAGTTCAAAACCCTAACCCTAATATAATTAGGTTAAGGAATTCGGGCTTACAATGAACCTAAAAGCATAGAAACCTTCAGTTCTGAACTCTCGCCTACCGGAAGCTTCATAAACCCTAGATTTATCAGCAATGGTGTGGCGAAGGGTACAGACCAGAGACTCCCACATGTTTCTGTTCAGCGAATCCCCAACAAAAACCAGACGCTTTCCTCTCAGTCTTCGAAGAAAATCAGTCCCATTTAATCTGCCAAAATAAGAACAAAAGAAGCCCAATACGTTAAGAACCTTAAGGTACAGAAAACCACGGATAATACTTTAAAAATTCAATAAAAAACAGCGCTTTTCACATTAAATGGAAAACATTTTAAAAACTAAATTAAAAAACACTGTTTTTCCTCTTTAATCGTGCTATTTACCTAGGGATACTGCATTTTTTGGGTTGCCATCTTAGCTTCTCATAAGCATTATCAGGCCTCTGGTTCAAAAAGCAGTTGAATGACTCATCAATGTGAGGGCATGAACCAGCAGGATAAAGGGGATAAGAATCATCCTTCACCCATTTTCCATCAAACAAATCACAGTCTCTCAAATCATCAAGCTTTTTCCGGCCATCACTAGCCGGAGAACTATTTTTCCGACCATCATTAGCTGCAACACCGTTTTTCCCACCATCTTTTTTAACAAGAACAGATGTGAAGTTTGAAGCCCCACCTTTCCCCTTATGTACAGTTGAACTATTGGTTGCGTCTTTCCCTTCAGTCTTAGAAATCAGCGTCTCATTGCCTGAGAATTCCCCGACTTTTCCCGGTTGATTTAGGGTCTTGTTAGCAAGTACTGTAGCTTTCACGGCCGGATTTGAAGTTGCAGAGGAATTGCCTCCATTTCTTCCGGCCAAACCCTCTCCTTTTCCGGCCAAATCTTTCCCTTTCTTGGCCGAAACTTTTTCCTTCTCGTTCGAAACTTTCCCTTTCTCAGACGATACTTTCTCTCCTTTCTCACCTGAAACTTTCCCTTTCTCAGTCGAAACTTTCCCTTTCTCAGACGAAACTTTCTCTCCTTTCTCACCTGAAACTTTCCCTTTCTCAGTCGAAACTTTCCCTTTTTGGGCTGGAACTTTCTCATGCTTGGCCTTAGTTTTCTCTTCCTCTACTGAAACCTTCTCCTTTTCGGCCGAAACTTTCCCGTTTTCGGCTTCATGGCTTCTTGTCCTTCCATCATCACTGCCATTTCTGACGGTTTTTAAACTCGAAGAGGGAGCGCCTTCACTTTTTTCGATGACAATGCCGGGATCTTGGTGAAATCTGGCCGGAATAGGCGCCGGAGATGGCGAAACATCGCTTTTTCCAGCAAAAACATTACCTGAACTTCCCATCCCCAGACTGTCATCTAATTTTGCAGATGTTGGGGCCTGATTCTGAGGAAAAATGTAGGAGAAGAAGGAAGATAACTGAGAAGAAGAAGAAGAAGAAGAGAGTGAAGAAGAAGAAGAATCAGTCCCCGATCTACTCCAAAAGATGTTTGATAGCCAGAGAGAAGCGTTCCCTGAAGAATTAAAGGCAATTAACGCAGTGCAAGAGATGAAGGCAAACATGAAACCATAGGCAAAAATCATAGTTCTTGTGGTTTTCAAAGCAGTAGCCAAGGTCTTCAACTCCATGCCCAAGCCTCCTTTAAAGAGCTTCCTCAAAGCATCCATGGCGCTCACCATACAACCAGAAAAATCCTAGAGATAACAGAGGACAGAAAATACCAGAAAAAATGTATAAGCCCTAACAACAGGGTTTGAAGTTTAGAGTCCACAACACCATTTCAAGGCCCTGAGATTAAATAGCTTATGTAAAATCATCAATGGCCAAAAGTTTAGGACCAGAAAACCCTAAACGAAACTCGATCAAAAAAAATGGACCCCAATTGAGAACAAACAGGGAGATAGAGGAAATGGAGTCCAAGTAATTGATAAAGGCCAGTTAGAGAGAGAGAAAAAAGGCCAGTTAGAGAGAGAGAAAAGAGTTAAGCCAGTAAGAGCGAAAGTTACAGCGAGAAAAGAAAGTTTTAGAGTGAGAGAGAGAGAGTTAGAGAGAGAGTAGAGTTGCAGGGTTTTGCAAGCGAAATATGTGGAGTGTGGATGAGAGAGGGAAAGTGTGGGTGGGGTCCTCGTAAAAACGGTTGTTTCCGATTAAAAAATGCCAAGATATTCTTTCCTTGATTTTTGCTTTCCCTTTCGGGTAAGACTCATTGTAACCAAATTAAATTTTGGAATGTCGATTTTGTCCGGCTACTGTTCATAAGTGAAATTTGAAATTCAAAATATGACGTTATGTTTCAAATTTGGAATTTAAAACATTTGAGAACCGAGATTTGTGGGAATTCGGTAGCCGGGAAAAAAACAAATAAATGAAATTTTTTTTTTACAAGAATAAATAAATAAATGAAATTTTTGTCATGTGGGATGGGAATTTGTAGTTAGGCCGGTGTTTGAAAACTCGGCATCATCTATCCAATACACATCGATGGGAATTGGTTGGCACCAAAGATTTAAAAAAGGTTGGGTCCGCATGGAATCGCCGGCTCCGACTTGAGAATCAGTGACTCGTGTTGATTTTGTCAATATATATATAAAATCGTCTTGATTTAGAAAAAAACTCGTGATTTGCTACAACAAAACGTCATTTTGCTGCAGTAAAAAATTCACCAATTCAGACCTTTTTTTTGGTCCGTTTATTGTTTTTACATGTGTTTTTTTACCGGTTCATTATTTTCTCCGCACAGTAAAATAGCGATATGGACTGCTAATTCACCGATATGAACTGGTTTTTGCGATGCCCGATCTTGGTCACCAATATATTTTTAAATCACTAGTCGAACAGGTTGTAAAATTATATCCAATCCCATACCAATTTCCCCTAGGATTCCCCTTTATATTTTTTATTTTTCCTTTTTAGATTATCGAATGTTTTGTTTTCTTAGTTCCTCATAAATCCCTATTTTATTTTTTATTTTTTTGAAAATTTTTGGATCACCAAGTCGATCTGATCCAAATTGAAGTAGATCACCAATTCAAGGATGAGAAATAGGAATGATTGGTCGACAAAATATGAACTAGAGATTAACTATTGATATACCTTAGAACAATACATTTTTATTACCAAAAAACGTATTGACTGCTACATGTCATTTGTTCGGAATGAAATTAAGAAGGGGTACACTACTACACTGATATGAATCCTTCGAAAAATAGTTTTGTCCTTTACAATGGAATGGTAATTATATTCCACTTTCCAACTCAAGAGAGGAAAGCTCTAGAAACTTTGTTCTATGCCACTTTTGATAAATATGGGAGAACTTCGGGCTAGCTTCAACAAGTGATAAAATGAAGAAAAGTATATGTAATGTTACTTAGAATATTACAAATTGAGTGAAAGCTCTAAAATGACAACCTCCCAAAAAACATAGATGGAAGTAGTGAAAAAAAAATGAAAGAAATATGATGAGCTGGTTGTGCCCCTATCCTCACAGTATGCCGCTAGGTTCTTACTGATCCTGTTATGGGTGCCGTTAGTCCTGTGCCGGTTGGTGCTTTGAAAGTTATGACCTGTCGCTCGGTTTGAGTCGGGATTGCTTGGGAATTAGTGGCCTCATGAAGTTGCTTGTGTGGTTTTGTTGGGATATTGGGGTTGCTAGTGCTGAGGGTTGTTCGTGTAGAATTGGTAATTTTTTAGAGGAAAGAGTTTGCCCTTTCATTCTTCACACTACTGTAATTTTGAAGTTGGGCTCTATTTTTTAATTAAAGTACATTCAACACTAAAGAAACAGGTATCATGAATTATTGCCTTGGTGAGAATATGACTTTTAATAGAACGGCATCACATAACACATGATTCGTATATCCAAGTTGAATAGTTGGGATAAAATTCAGATGATAATTAAAATTTGCCAAGCCAATCAAAACTGCCTGAGTGAGCTTAGAATGAAAAGACAGGTAACTTGGGCTCAAAACAACCGACAATTGCTTGTAGACTTTTTCGGTTTTTATTGAGTTGAAAGTTAACCATAGCTGCCTTCTTGGACTCGAGTTTCACCGGAGTGAACTTAGTTGAATCCAAATCAGAACCTTGAATCGGGTAGATTCCATTTTGGAAACACCCGATTTCAAATTTGATGGGAGGAACCTAAGTTTTGACTAGAAACTCTTTAATAGAAACATCGATATGAAGGAGAATCAAATTTTTGGGTTATCTTTTTTCTTTTAGAAACTCGATTTGAAGTTTTAAACTCTGAACGATGAGTTTTGTTGCGAACTCACAACAAGTTCCTAGAGGAACTGCTGAATTCCAGATTTAAAGACTAGGAAAGTTCATTGCGTTCACAAAATACCAATAAATTCAAAGAAATTACTGTTAACGCTAAAAAAAAAAAAGGGAAAAGAAAAATAAAATACCAATAAATAAAATGTGTTTTCTTCTTACGATTCCAAATAAGGGCTAGATAAAAATTAGGTAATCAAATATAGAGAAATAAACAATTTCTTTTTGGGATCTGAATAATAAAAATTGAAACTCCTTAGGAAAGTGAAATAAACACCGACACCTTAAGTCAATTTTAGGGACGTAAACAGGTCGGATCGGGTTGGGGCACCCAGACCCAGCCCTCACCCCACAAGGTTTGAATGAGATGCAACCCAGGTCAGGTCAAGTTTTTGTATGGATCGACAAAATGTACTAGGTGAAGTTAGGTTGTATTATTTTGACTATATTTTTTACTATTTAATTATCAAATTAGTTTATATTGATATTACATATTTTTTAACATGCACATGCAATTTTGGTCCCTTAAATTTTAAAGTCGGTCGTTGTAAGAGTATTATTGAATAAACACACTGTTCTAAAACAAAAAGAGCTCAAACTTCGTGATTCAACTCCAGCCATCCAATTTAACAGCTATTATGTAAGAATGATTGTGACCTCCATGTATAAAAGATAAATAGTTTCTTTCTAGACAATTCTTATAAATATAGATAATAAGATTTGGTCTTGTAAATCTAGATTTTGACCCAACCCACTCGATATAGTCTAGGTTGGAACTAGACTTGGAATTCACCAGGGCTAAGTCTAGGTCAAGTGGAGATAGCCGCAACCTGTGAGGTCCAATGCTTAGGTCTGCCCTATCCAACCCATTTTCTACCCCTAATCAAGTTTTCTATGCCGCCATTATAGGTTGAACACATAGATCTAGCAATAGTAAATATAAATGGATGTAATCAAAATTTGGAATGGATCACATGACCGATTCCAATCCACTTGGTTCAAATTGGGCTACTCTCAATGGCAATGCCCCGGTTGGCTCGGCATGACCTGAAAAAGTAGGGCTTGGGCAACAAATTGTGGCTCGAGTGCCGGGCTAAGGCCAGTGGTGGCCCGGTTCGGCCTAACCCAATCCTATTTTTTTCTTTTATACTTTTCATTTGTTTTTGACCCTGCTGGCTCATCCTTAAGGGGATAATGGCAAGGCTAAGGCGAAGGTTGCCCCAGCCTTTGCCATATTTAAGGAAGATAAAAGAAAAAAATTAAAAAAAAAAAAAAGGCAATTTTGGATTCCTAAATCCACCGTTCCACTGGTTCTTTTAGAGAAAACAATTTTTAAACCAATATTTTAAAAATTGAATTGGTGGTGGCAGTTCGTTCACCCGAAAATATGTGTTTGATTACTAGATCAGTGATCCAGACCAAGTTAAGATTCGTTCGAACTTCAAATCGATGCTTTAGAAAATATTAAAAATAAACTAAAATTAAAATAGGAGTTTACATGATAGGAATATAAAGGGAACTTCAAAAAAATATTAAATAATATTTTAAAAATGAAAAACATATATACATGAAGACTTTTGGGGGGACACAGTTATAGGAATCATACCATCTCAAAACCCATTCGTACATCGCTTGGCTGTGAGTCGTAGTGAAGGGATCGAAATGGCATAATTGGAATTTATGGGTACTGTATATGTCCTTTTGTTTTCGTTCTAGGCCTATATTTTCATCGCATGCGTGCTTTACGCGGCGATAAAGGTCACGCCGCGTGTCGGGATTTAATTGGATTAAATGTGTTCTACTAATAGGGGAACCACTAAAGAAAGTGAGAGTCACGGAGAGGACTCGTGGCTTGTCTTCCCTTCCTTGCCGTACGTACTTTTGAGTCGGTGAATTAAGGTTTTATTAATACCTATTCCTCAATGTTCTCTTTTTTTATTACAAATATATTATTATCCTTTGCAATTTTATTCTGAGTGCAAATTTTATTCTGAGTGCGGTTTGTATAGAGAGCCGAGGCTCGAAGCATACCGCACCTTCAAATAATGTCGAAAAATGTGGTTTTAATATCGAAAATATATGTGATAGTCTTAAAATATATTTTTATTTTAATTTATAAAATTTAAAATTGTAAAAATAGTGTAGATCGATCAGATCTATAAAAACTTAAAAATTGACCACCCAAAAGTACATTACAAAATGCATTATTTCTAATACTTGAAATCCAATTTTTTTTATGTCCATATATCTTGATGTTGAGATGATCAATTTGAGGATATTTGAGTAACAAAACTACCTCATCTAGTAGAATTTTTGATGTGCACTTTAATTTGATTGTTTAGAGCCTCCACTCTATATAAACTTTTTCCTTTAAGCTTATAGCTAATATTGTCATGCTTCGAGCAGTCTTTTTGGGTTTGGTGAGAAAAATATACAATTTGGTGCTTCGGTCGACTCTGGGGGATTTCAAAGCTTTTTTTTTTTTTTTTAATTTAATATAAATAAATTAGATATTTATATATAAAGGAGATAAAAATAATGAAAAAATTAAAAATAAAAAATACTTTTATATAGTTATTTCTTTTTTGACCAAAGTAGCCCGAATATAACCGAAGCGGTAGTACCAAGCTCCTCTTTTCTTCAGTTTATGCTTAAAATTCGAATGCTTCAACCTCTTTGGCTAAAACAAAGCGAATTTGACAACATTCTTGTGGCTTCTTTTTGGCTTAGAGCTAAGACAAATCT